ATCAACAACCAAGTGTTAGTACTGGCAGAAATGACAAAAAAGATGACAGGAAGTGGCATGCGGTTTTTTAATGACTTATCTCATAAACAAACTTATTCACATGTGTTTTTAATTGGGTTTCTTTTATAATGAAAACTGCAAAATCACAAAATTGTTTTGTGACTTTAGCTGAACAGCAACAAAGTTTTGTGCACATTTATAATAGAAATGCAGCAATATGTGGCTCGACTGAATTGTAAACAGTGCTACTTTTGTTTGAAATGTTCCAAATTTGGTGATTAGAACAAGATGTCCTCAGATTTATCTCAAAACTCTGAAATGGTGATTTTTGCGTAGCATTTCAAAACAAATAAAACGTGGAAGAAAATATGCAACAAAGTCTGTGATTTGTGAGAAATAATAAAGAGATTGAAATAAAATGTTGCAAACTGATATTTATCTATTTTCTGCCTTGTTAAATCACTATTGATAATTATGAGAATTAATGAATGTGATCAGCATCTGCTCTTAGATAAATCACTAATCACTGAGTAATTAAAAACAAACTGCGTCACACAGTTAGCCCTTTGCATTACTCAGTATCAAGTGGCAGCCCTCAGTTGCTTTAAGCCATGCAAGTGTGAAATCTGTAGAGTTATAAGAAAAGTCTGTTGATTTGACATGTTATGAACATGCATAAGAAAGAAGAAGGATTATAGAACTAAAATAGTTCTATGATTCCAGTGTAGAAAGTTAAGGTAACATAGAAAAACAGTCATTGTGTTCTTTTTAGACAGCTATCCAATCCATATGTGCCAACGGTTTAAAGTTTGCTTAAAGTGCAAAGATGTTTTTGATTGGAGTTCTAAGATGAGAAAAGAGCCTTCAACTTGCCACGTATTTCAGCTTTCAAGACCAAGTCTAATAGATTTATACCAAATGAGGAGATGAGAGGAGTCATCTAATGGAAGTAATATATTAACTACTTTAACCTTTTAAAACCTTAAGAAAAACCTCAAAACTACCCCGTTAACGGTCACTTCCAGAAAGAATTAGGTCTGAGTGTAAAAACAAATGTGTGATCAAAAGTGTGCCGCTGCTTTTTTGATACATCTCTGTGGCTTTTCTGTTTTGCTGACCCACTGATTCCAAAATGTCAGCTATTACAAACTGGAGCAGAGGCTGCTCGAGCTGCTTTGAATACCCTCAGTCTCTTTTTCCAGCTTGATTTTGGACACCCCCTGCTGACACAAAACGAAAAATACTACATTTCTGGAGGATCTTCCCATTCAAGCACAGCTCTTGTTTTCACAAAAGCAGGATGAGAACTTTTATTCTTTATGATTTTAATGCCCCTGAATTGGATTTTATGCAACAAAAGGGTTAAATTTCTGTCTTAATTTCTCTCCCAGCATGTATCTTTGGATTGAATCCGCTCCTCCTGAGGCTACGGCTCGCTTTATTCAGTGAAAGCCACATGTACTCTCTCTCTGGTTAGCCTGTACTCATCTGCAGCCCTATCATCTGCATCAGTTAGCACATACAAAGAGCAATGTGCTGATTTGCGTGTGAGCATGTGCCCCTTTTGTATGTGTGAGTGCTAATGTGCTGGGTCTTTTTTTTTTTATGATAAAGTGGGACTGTCAGGAGGCTGTGACGGTTGCCAGACTTCGGCTCTGTGTTTATCTGATGCTAAGTCGGCAGCTGTTGACCAGAGGAATTCATACATGTGTACAATTCATCTTATGACTCCAAACAAATAGGGGATAATTTCTTCTCGTTCATTTTTGTACTACACAAATAAAAAAAAACTTTCCCTAAGTTGGCCACACAACATGACGCACATATTACATCTTTTAAATTGTTGCCACCGTATATGTGGGCAGTAGAAGGTTAGCTTTAAACACATTTATTTTCCACCTCTTAATGATAATAATATTTGGACTGGCACTGGTGAAATTAGCCTCTCCTGAAATATAAAAATGGGAGTGGAGGGATATATGAATTAATAATAAGCAGAATTACTCAAACTCTGCACACAACGAACCACAGCAGCACGGAGAGCCCTGCGCCACCAAGGTGACAAAACCTAAATATTTTATGTCTAAATATGATTTTTGGGGGTCTCACATCTGCAAGTGTAACAATCCAGCCCAGGTCTTTGCATACAGTGGCTGAGCTTTAAGGCTAAAAGGAGACTTGGAATAAACATGTGGCTCTTATCTTGACAGAGACAAAACCTTTAGATCAGATTTTGCAGATAGCTCGAGACCCTCCGTGCCTCTAAAGCGAGTGGACTGTGTTGTTTGGGTGCCCTCAGGTGGAAGCCTGGTATAATTGCTGTTGACAACCTACAAGTCATTGTGCAATTAAAGCATCTGCCGCTCCTGTGTGGCAGCAGGCTGTGATGCCTTGTGACAGCTCGTGGCCATTAAGCAACTGTAAGCAGCTGGCATGCCTCGGTGGGGGGAAATAATGTGACAGAGGCATTGCCCCCCCCATTGTTGCCCTTGTCTCATTGGGGAAAAGAAGGACATTACATCACTCACTGGAAACGCGGGTGTCCCCGGTAAATGGGCGAAAGGTATGCCTTGGAATTGGACACAGCTTGATATCCAAAAGATACTTTCCTTCAGACTTCAATAACTAATTGGATCTTCTTGAATAATGTCAGAAGATGACTTCACTGGAATTGAAAATGTTTAAGTTTCTTTTAATAAAGAAATTCTTTAACTCTCTTTGTGAAAGTTTCTCCAATTGTTTTCTTTCTTTTTCTTGAAAACAACATTTCTCATCTTGTCACATTAAACTGTAATGTATTTATTTGTATTTCATGTGACAGAAGTTGAAGGAAAATATTAATGATTTTCAAACTTTTAACAGAAATCTGAAAAGTGTGCAGTGCATTTGTACTCAGCTTTCTACACTTCCAATGTTACTAGGGTGCTAAATGGGGTTCATCAGCTGCTTTCTGAAGGCCACGCAGGTTTGTAAAAGAACATTAGCGAACAATAATATTACGAAGACTAAGGAAGACAATAAACAGGTCGGAAATAAAGTTGAGGAGAAGTTTAAAGCCATGTTAGGTTATACAACAATTCCCAAGCTTTCATCATCTCACAGAAGACTGCTCATTTTATCAAAGACAGTTTGATGCAACTGCAACCATGATGGTGTCCTATTGTTTTCAATCCCAGTTAAAATCTATCTGAATTTGTAGTTGTAATGCTACAAGATGAGGAAAAGTTCAGGGAGTGCATACTGTTGCAAGGCACTGCATCTTTATCCTACTTTGAGGTGTTGCCAAATGAGTCACCAACCAAAATTGAAACCAAAGGCACAGTTTTCCTGAAACTATTAAAATTCATCAAAACATTCAGCCTGCTCTCCACAGGCTGCAGTCGTGGCAGAAGGGGGGTGGGGACACGTCTTGAGTCTGACGGGGATTTACTGTATGTGCACAAGATTAGCAAATTCTGGATATATCAAATTATTTATTTAATTAGCTCCTTTTCATGTCATTTCTGTGTCATCACATTTCAAAATTGCAAATAAAGCTGTTTTTGTGACTAATTTGACACAAACAGTCCCACTGAGGTATCTGAGTATAATAGTTGAGTATCCTTACGAAATCTTGTTTCGAAGAAGACGATTATCAACTTGTCACAGTCATGAAGGCAGGCCATGAAAGGCCAGGCAGTGTGTGTGTGTGTGTAAGCCTTGTATGCATGTGTGTGGATCTCCTGTCTGTCTTGAGGATTTGCTGTTTCAGCAGGGAAGGAATCAGTCCTGTGCCTTTGCCGTTCGGGAAAGTCAGCGTAAGGAAATTCCTCAGCTTCACAGTGGCAATCAGGCAGTTAAGGAGCTGCCACTGAAAATGGAGCTGTGTGTCACTCACTTTCATGGCTTATTCACACCAGCACAACTGCTCCGGCATAAATAGAGGCCTTCTCATTTCCTCACCCCAACGATCCCAGTAAATTGTTCTTAGTTGAAAATGGCTGTTTGTTCAGCAAGGAGCCCAACAACAGCTGCTGTGTCTGAAATCTCATGCAAGAAATAGCTTTACATTCCTGTAACAAGTGTTAGGCTACGTTTAGCCAATTCAAGTTTACTTTTAAGCCAACTGTTAAAATTTAATACAACACTTTGTATATAATAAGACAATGTTTTAACTTGTGTTAAAATAGTTTTGACATATGTCTTTGAGGCAGATTTTAGTACAGGTAGTCAGCTAATGAAGATTACTACCTGAATTTGACGACATAGCGAACCTCACATTCTTAAGAATGACAAACTTTATAAAGGGTATATCAAAATTTAATCTTAGAAATAACTTCCTTTTAAGCAGTGGAACTAGATGTTTTTTGAACATAACACATCAGGTCCTTGGAAATGCTAACATGGCTGGCAAGTGAAATAAACTTTTTTTTTTTTTTGCCGTATGAATCAGCAAGAATCTCAGTATTCAGTCCAGACATGAAATACTTTTAAAACTATAGAAAACATGTCATTTTGTGGGTGAAACATATTGCAGTGGATTGATTATCAGTGGTAAAAATAAATGAATAAATGGAGCTATTTCCAAATTTGTACTATGGCAGCTGAAACGATTTTTGCCGCATATCTTTTTTGATATATTATGCATTAGGATTGTGTGTGAATAATGCATCTTTATATCTGATTTGCCTTCGTATTTGTCAGATATAGAAAGAAAGAAAGAAAGAAAGAAAGAAAGAAAGAAAGAAAGAAAGAAAGAAAGAAAGAAAGAAAGAAAGAAAGAAAGAAAGAAAGAAAGAAAGAAAGAAAGAAAGAAAGAAAGAAAGAAAGAAAGAAAGAAAGAAAGAAGAAAGAAAGAAAGAAAGAAAGAAAGAAAGAAAGAAAGAAAGAAAGAAAGAAAGAAAGAAAGAAAGAAAGAAAGAAAGAAAGAAAGAAACTCCTTTTTCCCACAGCACTCAATGCAACATGGAATGTAACTTAGATACTCATGCCGCAAACTGTAGCGACAGTGTCGTAAAACCTCAAAGTGTCGGTGTGTTTGAAAGCGTGAACTGGTATTTTTTTCTCGGTGGAAACTAATCTTCATGGAGCTTACAGTTGAAAATATGCGGTTTTATTGATGGCCGTATTTTCATTTGAGTCGCTTTTGTTTTACGCCAAAATGAAGCGTTCCCTCGAACACAGCAGCCGAAAAATAAGTTGAGCTTCACCAAAACAACCTCGAAAATGGCAACATGCAACAGCGAAGGTAAGACAAAGCAACTCCTAATCAGCACAGAATTGTTGGGTGTCAGTATAACAAATCTAAATATATAAATTCTGTGTTGAAGTCATTATTTCCTATTTTCGTTATGTAGTAAATGCAGGACTCTGTGCTGCGGTGGAGGTGAACCCAGACATCCACATCTGCGGCTTCTGCAAACAGCAGTACAACAACTATGAGGTTTTTCTCGCCCATAAGCAAAACGGATGCTCCCTTCCCTCCTCTCATACCGCGGTCAGCTCTGTGTCAGCCTCTCTTACAGGTTTCACTTTTATATGTCAATGGAAACTCACTTCAAAGCAGCCGTTTCATGCACGCCTGACATGGTTTCCTCCATCGTTAGGTTCCAGCACAGAGTTTGTTCTTGAGGATGCTTACCAGGTCTGCGTGGTGAGGGGGGTCAAGAAGTCCTTGACCACAGCACAGAAAACTCCATCCAAGAAACTAAAACCTGCCCTGGCCTCCAAAAGACATTCCTGCTGTTTCTCAGGTTGGTTGTGTGAAGTTACTGATCCTCAAACCATAAATACCAAACTGAACCAAACAGGTGTTTTAATGCAGTGCAGAGAAGGAAATAAATATCGTTACTATTTGTGAATGTAGGGAAGGTTTAAAGTTATGTTGAAATTATGAAAGTTAAATTCAGTTAATTTTTGCAGTGTCTTTAGATGAGTATATCTTGAACCTGGTTCAAGGGACTTTGCCATGATGTGGCAGTACTTTCTATGTAAATGAATAAATAAATTTGTAGTTAAGGAAGTAACTAAATTAGATCTCAGTGGTTTCATCTAAGAGAGAAATGCATCTAAGTAGATTAAAAAAAGAGCACATTGACATTTAAGTGCTTTTAAAGTCAGCCAATAGCTTTCTTTGAGAAACAGGGAAAATAATAAACTCATAAAGTTTGCTATTCTACAGTTGTAAAGGTTCCTTCACAGCATGAATTGGTTTGCACTGTCAGAGAGAACATTATTGACACTTTCTTTGGTGTGTGGAACCCCCTCTGAACTGTTTTCATAGAGCTGTGTAGAAACAAATATTTGCAACTTTTACTAAATTAAAGCAACGTTGGGGGGGAAAAGGATGTGAGCCGAAATTTGCTCACCCAAAGGTTAGGTCAGAGAGAACACCGATTTTATTATTTTCACAATGTGGTTCTAATAACTTCTACATAATTTAAGAGTTTGGCTTTTCTTCCACATTTACAGGTTGCACTTTTAAGACACAGTATGGCCAAAAAGACATGGAGCGACATCTCAAGACTCACACCGGTAAGATAATCCCTTTCAACCCATTTAATCCCAACTTTTTCCCAGACATGAACAAATTAAAATCAGATGTAATTTATAGCCATTTGAACTAATCAAGGGGAAATAATTTTTAAAAGTGTGAAAAAATATATAAAAAAGTGTGTGTTATGATCGGTTACAATTGTGACCGGTGGGATAATATAGTGTTCTTACTAAGATGAGCTAAAAGTGCTTTTTCCAAATAGAAAAGATCATAAAAGGTGTTTCTTTTTTTAATAAATCTTTCCTCAGCGTTACGTTTGTGCAACATTTGCTGTGTGAAGTACAAATTTGACTGTCTGTACATTTGAAACCAAGGTAAATTTGAGTGTTTATGCACAACTATTTTGATTTTCAGTCTGTTGTATTATGTTATTCCATTAACAAAGCTCATAAAGATAACTTCTATAGTTGAGGCCTTCATTTATATTATTGAAAATCATGAACATCTGTCAGTCACACTGTCATATAGTGCACCTCGGACAAATGTAATGCCCCACTGGTCACTACTGTGACCCTCAACGTGTTTACATATCCTGCTCACACACCAAACCAATTTTTGTAAATGCAAAGGTGAATATCACCTTTAAAGGTCATATGCACCAAAAGTCTTTGTTGTATGTTTATTTAAACACACATTGCTAGCCTCTTCTTTGGGAGGTTTGTGGCAGGTGCGAGTTCATGTCATGTGTTAATTAACATGTGATACTGCATAAGTATAATCCAAACACTCTACACTGTCAATATTTGCTGAACATTAACTGAAAATTTAATTAGTAAGCTGTTTGGAATCCTTGGAAGTTAAATAAATTTCTTGGTCACTATTGTGACCGGTGAGCTTACATAAGTTAATACTGTACTTTTTTGAGATGAGATACTGAAAAGTCCAAAGAGTCATCCCACTTTGTTCTTCCTTCATTGAGCAGGTGAGAAGCCGTTTGAATGTGAGCTCTGCCACAAGCGCTTCAGCCGGCGTGACAAACTGAACATGCACAGCCGCTCCCACACGGGCGAGAGGCCTCACAAGTGCAAGCACTGCTCCTACGCAGCGGCGGACAGCAGCAGTTTGAAGAAGCACCTTCGGATCCACTACGACGAGCGGCCATTCAAATGCCAGATCTGCCCTTACGCCAGCCGCAACTCTAGCCAACTCACTGTACACCTCCGCTCTCACACCGGTAGCTTCCTTCAAATGCTAATTCAATGTTTGCCTGGCTGACCTGGTGACACAAGCCTCTCATTTATTCTCTTTTTCACTTTCAAGGTGACGCACCTTTCCAGTGCCAGCAGTGCGACGCAAAGTTCAAAATCAACTCTGACCTGAAGAGGCACCTCCGCATTCACTCCGGGGAAAAGCCCTACAAATGTGACTTTTGTGAGTACCGCTGTGCTATGAAAGGAAACCTGAAGTCTCACACTCGCATCAAGCACAGCACTGAGAACTTGTTTCAGTGTGAACAGTGCGACTACAAGTCTGCCAGCAGGTCGGCTCTGCGGCAACACACGAGGCAACACTTGCCCGCTCGGCCCTTTCAGTGCTCCAAATGCACTTACTCATGCTCCAGCAAGGGCGCGCTGAAAGTCCATGAGCGGATCCACTCAGAGGAGCGCCCCTTCAGATGTGACTTGTGCAGTTTTGCCTCCAAGCGACTCAGCTGTCTGGTCACCCACAGAGAGCAATGTCACTCAGATAAAGCAGAGAGAGGAAGAGTCAGGAATGCCGGCAGAGGTGGACAAAACTCTCCTAAGCCTGTCAGCTCTCGGTATCGGGCCAAACTGGATGCAGCCCGGGCCTTCCACTGTGACTTGTGCAATGCAGCGTTTGTGAGGGAGGACTCGCTGCGCAGCCACAAGAAGCAGCATAGAGACGCCCAGAACATGGTGCAGTTCCAGCTTTCCAGCTCAGCAGACACGGTCAACCTAGTTCCCGTTACAATGCCGCAAAGCAATGCTCAGATTGAAGTTCCCTTCCCATCTAGTTCAATGGTTTCATACAATAACGCACAGATTAAAATTATCGTCCCACAGCCTTTGGGTCAGCAAAGCACCTTAATTCCTGCTGCTGGGGATGGAACAAGCAAAACCAAACTGGTCTTACTGGAGCCAGATAACCAAGATGTCGTCAATCAATCTATGATCCAACAAGTCAACCTGCTGGCAGCTGTGCAACCTCTCGGGTCGTCTTGTAGTACCATCAGGCCCGAACCCCAGACTGTCGTGCTGACAAAGCTGAACTCAGACAATAACACCCCTCAGGACTCTGGCAGCACACAGACTTTGATCACCTACAGCTCTGATCTGGAGGGCCTCAGCACCTTCATTCCTGATGGGGGCACAGAACTAAGAGTCGTGACAAAAAAGAGCTCACCATTGGTGACAATAGCAACTCCACCAGACATGGTTGGCTCCAAGCCTGCTGAGCCTTGTCAAGAAGCTGGACTGGTGGTTCCAAACATTGGCATTGGTAGCCAGAACGTGGTCATCCAGGGTGTCCCACTGATAATGTGCACTCAGCCACAGCAGGGCACGGTGGAGCAGCTTTCACCACACACACTCTACACAGATTCACACACACCTGGAAGCATGCTGCAATGAGTGAAATGAAATGTACTTTGCATTTCCAATGAGAAGTTCACATAAACTCGTCATAGAAAGCAAGTTCTATATTATTTTGGAGTTTCTTATTATTTATTTGTGCCTTTCATACAACATACGCTATGCTGCAATACTTTTTAAAAACAACCATTGGGTCCACAAATTTAATTTTTAATACATTATGAATTACTCAAATCATACACCTTTAGTAAGAATGAATTAAATGTTGCTAAGCAAGTTTTCCCTTAACCAAATGCTTTTAGTTAACATCAGCAAGCCTTTTTATTGAACATTAGACCACTCTTTCAGTTTGTTTAACTTTGCTTTTAACCATTGTCAATAAATTTTTAATAGGTTCAATGAGTGAGCCAATCGGAATTGGTCACCCATTATATCTACTTAAACTTAGCCAGTCCTAGTCTTTACGGTTCCTCTCAAAACTGTGCGTACTGCTGTGATATGACAGAATTTTTGGGATATAAAAGTAGAATAGCCAACTCCCAAAAGATGTTCCCAATCCAAGAAATATAGTCCCTCCAAGGTGCCCTGGGTCTACCTCTGGGTCTTCTTTCAATGGGAATTCCCTAACCTCGCCAGGGACGAGTCTGGGAGGCTTCCTAAACAGATGCCCAAGCCACCTCAATTTCTCGTCTCTACTCTGAGTCCCTCCTGGATGAAGGAGTGTCTCACCCTATTTCTAAGGGACATCCAGCAGAGGAAACTCATTTCAGACCCTTGTATCCATTTTCTCATTCTTTTTCTCATTACCTAATAAAGCTTCAGACCATAGATGAGGGCAGGAATGTAGATCGACTAGTAAATCGAGAGCTTCACCTTTCGGGTCAGCTCTTTTCACCCCAAAAGACCGATACGTGTTCATGTCACTTCAGTTATCACACTAATTTTCCTGTTAATTTCCCACTCCAATTTTCCCTTTCGTGTGAACAAGAACTCAAGTTAAACAGCATTACTTTGGGTAGGACCTCGCCCCCAACCTGGTGAAACAATCTGTTCTTTTCCAGATCAGGACCACGGTCAAGGTGCTGATCCGTATCCTGGCTGCTTCACATTCTGCCTAATGCCTCCAAAACAGATTCCCTCAACATCTTGGCATTCCCTAGAAATTATGTCCAGAAAGGTGACAAAGGAAAACCTCTCATTGGAAAAGTGTTGACCTTATTGCTGATAATGCAGATCAAGTTCTGACACTGGTTTAATTGTTACCTCATACTCCCAAAGTACTACCCAAAGGAAAACCCGAGCGACACGGTTGAACACTTTCTCCTGTCCCACACAATTGAATTCTTTTCAAAACTTTTTCCACAACTAAATTGGTACTTAATCCTTAAAATTGAAACCTACAACTACCAACTCTGTTTGAAGAGAAATCTAAAATCTCAATTGGAAAATGGAGGAAAAAATGGTTCAAACAAAATAAAAAACAACTTGACCCCGATGAATGTAAGTAAACTTGTCACAGAAATTGGGAAAAACTGCAACAATATCAACACTGTTGACTTGAGCTGCTGTTGATTTGCCTGAGAAGCCTGGCATATGAATGACATCATGTCAAGCTGAAAACATGGATGGAGCTGCATTGCAAAAACGACAAATGTTACCAAGTATTTTTGGTCTAATTTCTGGTGCTCATATTTTGGTTTTCTCCTTGCGGAAAGCAACTTTTCCACAAGATATAGAACCTTTTATGTCAATAACTCTTGACTATTGATTAAAACTATCAGTTCCACTGGCAGATTTTTTTTTTTACTTGTCACAAGATATTTCCATATTAAAAGTGAAAAATATCTTACAGTGGAGCTAGTAGTTTTGATCAATATTAAACAATTTATTGACCTAAAACAAACTCTTGCATGTTTTGAAAAAGTTACATATGACTTAGTTTTGTCTTATTTCAAGTGTTCTAATGTATTTGCACTAGAAACTAAAAACCTGGTTATGATTTTGTGTTTTTGTAGTGTGTAACTAGCAAGTAAAGTGTTACAGTTCCTATAGGCAGATAAATTACAGTTGAAAGTTGCATTTACAGGCAAAGTCAATGACACACTTACAGGAGTGATGACAAACTGCAGCATTTGTTTGCACAATGTTTTCCAGTTCACTGATAAATGCCATTGTCAATAAATTTGCATTCATTTGAATTATTTATTTTTTATTTTTTTGCTTTCATTTATTTGAGACATGTTTCAGCTGAGTAATATCATGTAAAGTGCTAAGGAGCCACAACTGGAACCTGAAATCAAATATGTGAGGCTTATGCATTTTTTAGTTTGTCCATAAGGGGGCAGCAGAGTGTCAAGAGTAAAGGTTGAGGTTAACTTTTATATATTGCCTTGTTCAAAAAACGGGTACCAGAGGGTGTGCTCCAATTATAGGGAGGACACCCTCTGTCAGGTCTGTGTATGACCGGTGTCAGAGTCTGGTCCGCATTGCCGGCAGTAAGTTGGGTTCGTTTCCAGTGAGAATGGAGCCCAACTCCATCAGGGCAGCCGTTTCTCACCAATTCTGTTCATTACTGTCATGTACAGAATTTCTGGGTGCAGCCGAGGTGTTGAGGGGACCCGTTTTAGTGGCCTTAGGATTGCATCTCTGCTTTTTGCGAATGATGTGGTCCTATTGGCTTCATCAGGTCGTGATCTGCAGCTCTCACTGGAGCGGTTCGCAGCAGAGTGTGAGGATCAGTGCCTCCAAATCCGAGGCCATGATCTTGAGCCGGAAAAGGGCAGAGCCCCCAAGTGGAGGAGTTCAAGTATCTCAGGATCTTGTTCACAAATGAGGGAAGAAGGGAGCGAGAAATCAGCAGGTGGATTGGCGCGGCGTCTGCCATGAAGCGGCCGCCGTACCGGTCCGTCATGGTGAAGAAAGAGTTGAGTCAAAAAGCGAAGCTCTTGATTTACCGGTCGATTTACGTTCCCACCCTCATCTATGGTCATGAGCCTTGGGTTATGACCGAAAGAACGAGATCGCAGATACAAGTGCCCAAAATGGGGTTTCTCCCCAGGATGTCTGGGCTCTCCCTTAGAGATAGGGTGAGAAGCTTGGTCATCTGGGAGGGGCTCAGATAAGAGTCGCTGCTCCTTCACATTGAGAGGAGCCTGTTGAGGTGGTTCGGGAATCCTGGTAAGGTGTTCCGGACACGTCCTACTGGGAGGAAGCCCCGCAGAAGACCCAGGACTTGCTGGAGGGACTATATGTCTCAGCTGGGCTGGGAACTGCTTGGGATATCCCAGGAAGAGCTAGGACACGTGGCTGGGGAGAGGGAAGTCTGAGCCTCCCTTCTGAAGCTGCTACCTCTGCAACTCGACCCCGGATAAAGTGGATGGAGGGATGGAGGGAGCGATGTTTACTTACATAGTCTGCATGTGCATTTTTGTTGAAAGAATACTTCCCAGTCCTCTTTTTGAATCAACAGATGTCAATTGTAAATAACATTAGTTCAGCCATCAAGGTCTTTGGTTCTAAAAGCCAAGCTTCTCCAGCAATAGATTTTTCAATAAAGTGTGTTTTGCTTGTTGCCATCTATTATTCTGACCATTTTTACACACAGATGTCAGCCCTCTGTATTCGTAAGCAGAAGATGCTTCACCTGAATAGGAGGCTCCTGTGAATTGATTTCTTCGTTCCTCATCTCTCGCATTGTGGCACTAATGGATCCACTGAAGCACGCTGCTGCATTTACAGGCTCAGCATGAGCACAAACTCAAGCAAAGTTACTTCCTTATAAAGATGTCTGTCATCACCGAGGGTTCACATCAGAGTTAGTTTGTCTTTGACAAAGGGAAACATGATTGTGCCCCTTTAGTAGTTCCTGATTTAATTGGGAGTCCTTTCATCTTTTCTGTGGAATGATTATGGAGGGTTTTTCAGTATTCCTTGAAGTGCATGTTGGTAAAAGCCTGTGGAGGTTAGAGACAATTGCGCTGTAGCATTCATATTATTGCTGCTTCATTTTGCAACCGTTCTGCATTGCATGTAAAGTTTCAAACGATGATACTGTGGAAACTACAAACAGGGACAATAGTTCATTAAAACTGTGTTAGGTTTAAATTAGGTGATGCATCACCTGTGCTTTTATCTCCATGTGATGCGCATCAGTTAGTAGGCAGGGCATTATTGACAGAAAGGTGTGAAAATTGCTAAATAAATAAAAAACCTGGAACTAAAAATCCCAGGTTTTAGTTCTGTGAAGAACTGAGAACAAGATGAATTTACATAACACTTTTTCATTTTGGGTAATGAGTCTGCATTGTCCATTTTGACTTGGCAATATTTGCCCACTCCTCTCTGCAAAATCTCAAAATCTGCCAGGTTTATAGTTTGCACAGAAACCAGTGTTCTGATGATGTGGGTGTAAACTTTGTGTTGTAGTGAAAGATGGAGTTCTAGCAGAAGCCCAAAGGTTTGGTTTGGTTTGGTTTGGTTTGGTTTGGTTTCGGCATTATCTGATATCTGGAGCTTGTCATTCACTTAAATCCTCAAAAAGAGCTGAAGAAAAGCAGCTCTAATGCATGACGGTGCCACCACTGTGCTTCACTGTGGGTATGGTGGTCATTTTGGTGATGTTTTTTACACCAAATGTACCTCATGGAAAAATTGTCTGAAAAGTCTGCCTTGCTTTTATGATATTGTGACACTGTTTTCCCACCATTGGGACTCTTCAAATGTAACTGTCGATTTTATCGAGGCTTAGAGATTTGTTTAGGAACAATCTTCCGTTTTTCATGAGTACAGCAATTTCTACTGCTCCATCAATATATCTCTGTAGTAAACCACTTGATGACGACTATCTTCAATGTATAATTGAAAGTAGTCTTGAAAAGTAGAGTCACTGTTAGTTATTTCTTTAGGTGAAAATTTGACTTGTCCATCTTGGAAGCTTAGTTGATTATCTAAATGTGATCTGAAAACCAACCTAAATATCCAGATGTTTTTATTTTTGGTTTATTTGCTATAACATAAACAGAATGCTAAATACAATGAAGTACAACAGGTTCTGAAAGGATAAACCTTATACAATATACTGACTCTTCTTACCATTGATTTAAATATATTTCTGAAATTTTGTACAGGTTGCAGGTAATACTAGTGACATAAAAAGTTTTGAAATTATTCGCTAAATGTCAGAATTGCTTTTTTCTTTTTTGACATTACAAACTCTGACAAATGTGCAGATTTATGTTATGTCCATCACACAAAGCAGTACAGGTGAAACATAAAATAAGTGGAATAATCTTGTGCAGCACTTAGCTGCAAAAGATGAAACATGTAGTTACAATGGTCAATAATTATTTTTTTGATTTGATTTCTTTTTTCAAGGGTTTTGCTTCATTTTGAGGAATAAAAGAACCTGCCACTCCTCATAACGAGGAGTGTTTGGTACAAAACGCATGAAGGGCTCTCTCTGGCGTATCTCTTTGATCTATTATCTAACATGCTTCCAGGCCATAATCCTGAGAGCCCGTCCCACCAACACCCACCCACCCCCCACTCCACTCATTTCCCTCTTCCACATGTGACATCAGGGCTGAAGTTGGTGCTCCTTCTGTGGGGGTTGGACCCCTGTAGAGTCTTTAAACCCCACTGTATGACTGCAGTAGGAGCATGGCTAGATAATGATGGAAATGTTCTGTCATATTGATTGTTTTTATACAGCAAAAGCCTCCTTTCCAATATCAGATAATCCTAAATTATGCCTTGTGTTGCAGAAGGCAGCAGGAGTTTAAAAACAAACCTCTTTATACTGTATGGCACTTCTTCAGTTCCTTCCTTCCTGTGTTTGAGATGTCAGCCTTTGAATGGGGCCATAAACGTCCCTCCACCCTCCCACCCAAAAAAAAGGAAAAAAAAAAGCAATTTCCACTCACAGCTGCTTAAAGAAATTGCAAGTTGTGGACCGCTCCTTTTAAGCAGATCCAGAGAAGAGTTTGTTCAGGAGAGAAACACAGACTCCAACGGAAAAGCCTTGATTTGTGTCAAAATCAAGACAATTAGAAAGTTGTCTCCTTTTATCATAGGCGTCTAATCAGCGACTTGGCGCACTTTTCTGCTCCTCTGCACTCCTCCAGGTGCAATCTGTCACTTACTTCAACAATACTTTACTGACCTTTGCTTTGTTTGCACACAATTTGCTATCCCATCAGCAAATGGCATTGAATGCTTTAATGAAATTACCTGATTGGCAGAGTATTGATATGGATTTCTGGGTGTGTTTTTTTTCGATGCAGGCATCTTTTCGGCGTGACACTATTGACGTCTTAAGTGAGTTTAGATTTGTCAGGGCACCGCAGGCTTTTATCTTGTCTATGGTCAATTCTTTTTGTCTGTGTGATAGAAATTCAAGATGATAGAGCTATTTGATCAGCAGTTTGCTGCCAGCTGACAATAAGAAAACCTATATAATTTGCCTTTCTGAATGCAAAGCGATTATTTGCTGAGACATTATTAGTCTACTTGTGGAATTCGTTGAATCACCGCGGGGCAAACTCTAACTTGAAGATAGCACTGCTTTTGTGGATGGTTTTATCTTTTAACTTGCATGTTTTTGTTCTTTGATCACTGAAATATGTATTCAAGATGTAAAAATGTTCAAGAGACTGGGAAATTCTGACACCTGGGGACCTTTCAGTAAATAGTTTGAGCTACATATGTGAACATTTTACCGAAAGTGTGCAGCACTGCATATGTTATTTTTGTCTTGATCTGATACCAAATTCAGGACCTGTATCGCCGATACCATTACTTCTTATTTAAGTTTGACCTGTTGGTGTTCTTGTGGTTTTTACTTTAAATTATTTTGTTCAAACCTGGAACAGCATTCTACAAAATATGATTTATGTGCATTATAATGAAAGAAAGTGCAAAATATTATAATTTAAGAACAAATAAAAACAGGTAGAGTTACACAGTTCAATACAAAAATAGAATGACATTTCTGGATTGAATCTGAAACTAATTGATCAATTTCAGCATGCTAATAATAATCTGATACTTACTATAGATATTATTGACATTTTGGATTGATCTGCCCACCTCTACATTGTACCTTCCCTGGACATTGATTTTAAAGTTTTGATTGTTTTTAATTTTTTGGAAATGATACAAACTAAAAGCAGACATGAAATTGTTCCATGTCTGCTTTATGTCTCTAATTAGATGTCAGGAAGTGGTTCACTGTTGTTTCCTTAAACATTAAATGTTCATCTTTAAGGGAGCAGAAAAATAAACCTGATTTCTGTGCTGGATGGAGGAAGGCTACAGTATCTGAAGCCACAGCTCGAATAATAACGGCCTTCATTCCCTTTTTGACAATGTGGGTTTCATAGTTTAGCAGCGACTGTGATCCTCTGAATGCAAATAAGCAGCTATCAGCTTTTGTGATTCGGTAACAAAGACTTTTTGGCCATTGTTTTCCTTGTCTTGTTTCTGTGCCACCAACTCTAAACAAATGCGTGTTTGCATGGTTTTGGCCATGCACACGGTGCCGTGTATTGAAGGGAGAACAATTGCTCAATTGTTTCCACTTATTCCATATTTAGTTTGATGCAAGTTATGTTGGGAACTCCTGCTAAGTGTGAGTCTTAGGCCATCACCTTTGGCTCTAGTGATGAGTTTTTTTTTGTTTGTTTTTTTTTCTTCTTTTCATGCTCAGTTTTGTGACGGCTTTCGATCATTCCCACACGTCAGCGTATTGCTTTGTGTCCTCCGAACACACTCTCACAGTTTGCAGAGCAGGCCTGTCATTTTTTGGCTGGTTTGGCTTTTTTCTTATTGACCCAGCCACTAGAAAGAGAACTGACATAATTTAAAACCAAAACATAATTCAGATAAATAATCTTGAAAGCGAAACCTAAAAATGGGACATTTTTCAGGAAGCTGGAGGAAAAACTTGTTACTTAGTTGCAATTTATGATGGTGTTCTAGATAACCAAAATGTACATAAAGTGACAAAGTGATGGTCACATATTTTCCATTGATCCTGTAGTACTGAGGCAGGAAAGTAGCCCAGGCCATCATACTACCACCACCATGCTTGATTGTCATTATGAAGTTTTTTTTTTTAAACTGCAGAAAACCTAAACACAGAAGGACTAGAGAAAAAAAAATAGTTTAACCTTGTAGCTGGTTTTGTAAGAGTACTTTGGAGATGAAAATATGCTTTCATATTTCTCTGGGTTTTGTAAGGTTTTATGAAAATGTAATATTTGCATATGCAAATGATTTTGCATATAAGTGACACAGTGTATGGACAAATATTCTTGAGATTGTAATAAATTTGAAAAGACATTTCCTGAGTTTTCTTCTCGATACATTTGGTACTCAGTCGAGGTTTTTCTAGTTGTGTTGATTTGTGACCATGTAAGGGAAACGTTTATGCAAATGTTCTATCCAAAAAGGTTGCAGGCCTAAATAGAGTTCAATGTCTAAGTTTGACTAAAAAAATAGAAGAAAAGTCGACATTGTTTGAAATACTGATGTTATAATACTACTATGAGTCTTAAAAGGTTATATGTAGTAAATGTAGTGTGATGGACACCTTTAGAAATGTTTTATCTGGCCAAATATGTGTGATACATGTGACAAATATTGAAAGTGATTCTAAAATCAAGACAGGAGTTTCT